AAAAATCATTTTAAGAGACTGTACCAGGTTGACTGTATATATTACAGTATGAAACTCCTATGCAGCTGCTTCCACAGCTGACGTTTACCTTCTTCCCCCAACAGCAAAATTCATTTGCTTAAAATTACAAAATTGAGACAAATCTATACACTAATTTAATTGTAACAAAATCTTTCACAATCCTTCTCAAAAATAAGGTTTTGAAAAACACTGACCTGACCTGTGTCTTAAAATAAGCCAGGAAAAAGTCTTACGGAAACTAGAGATGAATGTAGGATCAAGCATCACTGACAACATTATCACATGATCACTGGCATCCTAACTAGCCTAGAAGCAACCATCATAACAGTACTGTTAAATTAAAATAGTTACAAGCTATGATAATTTGTACCCTGGATACACTATTTCATTTCTTTTTCTCTTCTAAAGAGTAGCAACTGGACTTTGTACAAGGAATGAAGAAACAACTGGTAAAAGGGAAATCCCAACACAGATTTAGTGCCACTCTACGATGCCACAGCGTAGCTCCCTTGCTGTTACTGCTCCAAGCCACCCACTGAAGATTGTTGACTCTCATGTAGATCTCCTGTGTAAGATTTCTACAGCTCCACGGATTGACCAGTCAAGTAGGATCACACTGATGGGCAACCAGGCTCAGTCCATGGGTCCTTCTTTCTGCTTATATATATATATATATATATTTTCTGTTCTGCTAATAGCCTATGCTCACTACTGCTTGTTCACTATCACATTAAAGAACAAAATCTTCTATTTTTAACTTAAGCAGCTTTCAAGTGAGATGAAGTTGGCTGGGAAATTCACTAGATGAAACTAAAAGAACTTCAGTTACAAAACAAGATCCAAGATACAGGATATAAACACTGATAGGCTATTCACCAGGATAGCAGTTTAAATTCTCCAGTTACTTTTTCAGAATGGACTTATTTCAGTCAAAATGATATCACGTATCCCAAGCAGAATTTGTTTTTAAGCTGCATTAACATACCCAGCTTATACTCCCTAGCATAAGGCAAGAGGATACACAATTTAGTATAGTACCTTTGTCTTTAAGGAAGATAACGAGGAGGAAGGGGACAGAAGAGGAAACACTTCCCAATCAAATAGTAATTATAATTTAATATAAAGTGACACATTTAGTTGCATAACAAGTTCTTGTATTGTCCAAAATGTTTTAACCTTTTTTTAAATCTAAGTCACACTGTGAGCCTTTAATGTCAAGCATTTATGTAGAAACCAACTTTTCTGTAGGCTAAAAACTGTATCTCCCGCACAAACTGCTTTTAATTAAAGAATCCAGTACTCAAAACTAAATTCACCTTTTCGCATAGGTGAATTATGTTTTAAATTCACACAAATTGCTGAAGGCCTGGTTATACAGGTCAAGGTTGCTAAGGTTCATTGCTTTGTATATTACAGTTTAAAGAATGCTCTAAATTCATGGTTTTTAACTTTTTAATCTATGGGGGAAAAAACTTCCTATAAACTCAGATTAACTACTGCTAATGCACTGAAGAAAGAAAAACGAAAACCTTCCTCCTACTATAAAAACAAAATAGTGTGGCCTCTGTTTCTTTTCTGATAAGAGTCTTAAATACCAAACATTTAACTGCATAATAACATTTACTGGCAGCCAGGCAGCCTGCTTAGCAGATATATAAAGCAGGTAAAAGGAGAAAAAGTTAATTTCTTGGCTGAATGATTTCCATCGGTAGCTATAGGGCAAACTAGAAAGTCTTTTAGTAAAGTAGCAGTTGATTCTTCTATCAATCTGCAGCACACATACTCTTCCAAGGAATGCATTAAATATGAAAATCATATCCCGTTATCATCTGTTTCCAGCTTTCAGCCCAGTAAGCTTTTCTTAATGAATGCTGTAGCCTAAGGGACAAGCATGCTGTTGGCTTTTCTGAATAATGGAGTGATGCTACCATTTTTGCTTATTACAATATCGACTAGCTGAGGGGGTTTCACACATAGTCACAAGTGACTACTCTTGCCAGCATGCTCCAAGTTATTACAAGATGTTTTCAGACGTTTCATCTAAAAGAGCTTTACTGCTTTTAGTGAAGAAAACAGCTATGGTCTTGAACTGTATCATTTATATGGAGATAGGAGGAGGGATTAGAAGCCTGCATTACTGCAGATATATAGCAGAATATATTTAAGTATTCCTTGTCAGTCTTTGTCTGTTACTTAGATATGCGATCTCTTTTGCTTCTTCTGAGGAAAAGGTCAAAACACACAAAATTATAAATACAACATATGAATCAACTGCTGCATTTTTTTAAGATATCATTCATCAAGACTATTTTCTCCTAGGCCAATACCATTTTTACATTATTCAGCACAAAAATAAAAAACCCAATAAAGATGACTATAAACATTTATAGAGTTCTCACCTCTTTTTAATTCTAGTTCTTTGAAAGAATTGCACTGTTTAATCCAGGTTATTCTACTTCCCTCAGGTATCTAAACAATACAGTACAACTGCCACAATAAAAACTCCCCATCTAAAGACTTTACTTAACATTTTGCTCTTAACAGAGTACCTCAGAGGGAAGCACCTCAGTGTAAGAAACCATGTATTTTTCCCCCACTTATTTTGCATTACCTGCTTACTGCAGTCGTCTTCGTCACCTCGTGCTGGCAAGCTACTCCCTTGAAGTGATAATACACTTTTAATTTCTCTTCCATACTGTACCTAAATATGAACAAATCCATTATATAAAATCGAAGGCCAGAACAAACACAAATCAGCAAATATTACTGTGCAAGTTGTGCACTTCCAAATGTCACGCCAAGCACCAGTTTTCACTTTGTCTACACTTAAAAAGCCAGAGACCCCATTTCTCCTTATTTTTCTGTTTCCCTGAACAAACTACATGGCTTGCGTGCAACTTTCTGCAGCTTTTAAAATATATATTCATTCACCTAATTTGGAAGCCTGCAGAGTAGTAAGAACTTGTTGACTCAGATTTATTTAAACACAATTTCTTTTTGCAATGCCAAATTATTTTTGCTGTTCCCAACGACTCAACTGCTTATGATGAAGTGAGCTTTAGAATTTGTTTTTATTTTACACTCATCATCTTAAAACCCAGTGAGCTATTCTACAGAAAAATATATGGCAGATGTTATAAAGAGCAACACAGCATGAAAGGCAACTTGCTCTAGTGTTACTAACAAACAACTGCATAAAACGTCTTCACCTCCACTACATTGTTTAATTGACTGAACGTAATGCATTCATAGTAGGACTACTGCTTAAAAGCCAAGCACATATAGTACCTATAATTAATCCTGTTTGTTAGTAATTGCAAACCCCAATAACAAGTTATACTGGTCCTGAATGAATGCACTTCAATACCTATTCTGTAATAGGCATCAAAAGGAGCCTTTAAAACAATTAACTTGATGAGCTCTGCACTTCAATCCAATAGCGCACTCAAGAAAGTCTGCTATTTTCCAGGTAACAGAAACAAAAACCAGCCACACAAGAATTTTACAGGCCCTCAAAACAAGTTCAGATTTAAGCTTTTGGGAATATTACATAGTTATGTGATTTTACTTACGTTCCCAACAATTACTGAACAAACTGCAGATACAAACACATGAAAAAAGTGAATGGTTCAGAAACAACAGAAAAGTTTTGTCACCTACAGCTATGGAATAAATTCTGCACACAGCTATAATAAACACTCCTGAAAGGTATTCTCTCTAACAAAAATGGAGAAAATAGTAATGATCTGTCTACTTTCGTGATAAAGGAAATGATTACATGGTTTATAATTCTCGTGTAATCCATGACAAGTGGGCTTTTCATAAGTGTCACACGAAGGGTTTGTAATCTGTGCTTTGTTCAACAGCTCAGAAAAAATTAGTCTAACCCACTAAAAATAAAATGGATGGCAAAGAAACATCAAAATGGAAGTAATGAAGGAAAATACTACATGCAGATCAACCATGGCACAGTCGTGTCTCATACAAATACACTATGACAATCTAGCTTAGAGGGAAGGTCGAACTGGTATGTATTAAGGTTGCTCCAGCAAATCCCTAAAAACACCAAGGAAAAAAAAATCTAATATCACAACATACCCCTTCCCTTTTAAAAAGGGAGGAAAAAAAACACATACACGCACACACACAGAGAATTCACCCCACCCCAGAAAGGACTCTACACTACCCATTACTAAGCTGAATTAAAAACCAGACTGGAGAACACCTAGAATCTTAGGCTCAAGTCTTGCCTGGCCCTCTTCTAGCTCCTGGGTTGCCCTGTCACACTTCCCATCGTGCAAAGCAGGCAAGCCACAGGTGCTCACACAAAGCATTCAAATCCAGCAAGCTCCCATAAAAATAGCTGGTAGCACCATGCAAAAAAAGCAAGGAAAAGATGTTCTACAAAAGTCATCAGACCCGACAGGCTTGAATTCCTTTCCCAGCTAGTGCCTGGTAATTTAAGATGGGTACGTAGCCATGGGATGCTAGCCAGCTGATTGAGCTATTAGAGTGGAAACGAATTACAATTTTTTTTTTTAAAAGAGTTTTCTTACTTCTGAAAGATTCAGTACACAGGTAGATCAGCTATTAGGGCACCCTCCCCCCCCCCCTTCCCCCCCCCCCCCAATAAGCCACTCTATAAACTGAAGTCAATGACAACACAAACGCAATCTTCCAAACAGGAAATTTAAGTGCAAACATATTGGTGTTTCAAGGGGAGTGTTAATCAACGTGAGCAGTTCTCATCTCTCCATCTCAAAAATGACACAGAGGCATTCCAGAAGAGGCATTAAGAATTATTACAGGCATAAAAACTCCCGTATGACCGGAGAAAAGAAAAGATTGGGGCTATTTACTTTAAGATGAATAAAGGAAGTCAGGGTTAATATATTTTAAGTTATGACTAGCATGGGGAGAGTAGTTTGGAACCAGCTAGTCATTCCTCTTACTAACACAAAAAGAAGGGGACTTTCAATGAAATCAAAGAACTAATTTTAAAAACAATATTACTCCATAGGACTTGTTGCCAAATTATATTGTTGCAAGCTTTCTGAGGACTGAAAAAAGACTAGACACACAGTTAACATTAATATGAATAGACTTATAAGAATTTAAAAGATTTTTAGAAGGGATGCAAACGTTCACATTTCAGGTCATACACTTATCTACTGACAGGGAGTAAACTTTCCTAACTTAAGAACGGCATACAAAGGCTTTCTTGCCCTTTACTCTGATGCAGCTAGTGAAAGCCAAAACTGACACTAGAGAGAAAAAAAGGAAAAAGAAAAGCATATTGCAACTTCTACATCCCTACTTTGGATTTAGCTAATAATGCCTCCTAGTACAGTGTTTCCACAGCATGTTTTGAGAAAAGTTTCCAAAAATATTTTAAAGAAAGGCTTTTTTTTTTTTTGGGGGGGGAAAACTTCTACACCATGTTGCACTTTTCCCCTTCCCTCTGTCCATGCTGCAGTCTGATTCTTTCCTCCTCTTGCCTTTCTTCAGAAAGGCTTATATATTTCCCTTCACAGACCTGCTGTATCTGAGCACCTCCTGCCCCCAATCTACAGCCTCAGTCCCTCGCACCTTTCTTTCAGTCCTGTATTATTATCACCCAAGGATGCTGCTACATGTTTACACTTTTCTGGAACCTGAACATAGGCATTTTAGACACCTCCTTTTAAAACAATCAAAGTGTTTCTATCTCAAATCAAGCTGTACATATCCCTTAACAGAATAGGAAAGGGAGAAAATGGTATACTCAGATAATGTTGTTTTAATTCAAACTGCATTTCAGAGAATTAAGAACCACAGCTGAACTCTAGACAACCATATAAAAAATATAAGTATTGCATCAGAATTACATAGTAGGGGCTTAAGATGCCTCGACTAATTTGTTTCCTTCTCTCAAAACACTTGGCTGGAGGAAATGAGGGAAGAATGCTACTTCTCTTAGAAAGCAGATAAACACTTCTCCCTCCCAGTAAAAAACTGACTTTTTGCCTCCCCAAATTCTGACTTCATATATTTATGGCATGAACAGATATCACAAAATTAATTTTTTAAAATCTGAGTTCAGTACCAGCCTGTATCACTTTGCAGCACCCCACGTTGTTCTTCAGCGACTAGGGAGACAACACGCTATTAATAATATGGTTCAAAATCCTCAAAGCAGGACTACTTCTTGCAGTAGCCTATTGAATTGAAAGTACTTCAGTCATGAGTTATACTAGAAAGAATATTTTCTAATCATAAAACCTTAAATATGGATCCTGATCAAGTTTGAGTCAAACATTTAAGACAAAAGATATGCAGAAAGCTCTTTACTATTGTAGAAGAATTTCTTCTTATTTCTGTGCAAATTATTAAAAAAACAACACAAATGTAAGCATTCAACCTATAAGTAGTATTACTGATACAAAACCATAAAGAAAGGCCTGAAGCCAGTCACCCTAACAGACTTAAACAAGAGAAGCAAAAAAAATCTATTCACATTTGCAAATGAGAGAAGCTGAAAGATAAGCAAGCAAAGAGAAATAATCAAATTTTACTTAAGCATGAAAAAAATCATGGCAATTCAGGCCTAGCAGTAGCTGACCTTTTTATCTCAATGCGTAAAAAAAAAAAATTACTATAAATGCTGGCTTTACTTCTGCAAACTTTTTTGTTACTACACTATTCTAAAAGCTCCAGGTAGATTCACTGCATAAGGGAGATGCAAAGGTTTCCCCCTTACTTCATTTCTAGCCATCATGTGGAGACAGATTACAGCAGGGACTTATTGGGAGACAAATACAGCCCTCTGAAAGGAAAACACTTCAGAACTTAGTTGACTTCTTGATAACTGTTTCTACAATCAGAACTGTTGACCAGAACAACTGAAACTAACAGGCACAACATTAATAGCAGAGGTGGTTAATGTAACTGTTGAAAGGTCACTGTCCTCAAGAATATAGTTTTAATCTTTCTTTTAAAAAGAAATGACCATTTGTGTTTTCTACCTGTTACAGTAATTTTTAACAAATTAGTCATTTGAAGTTAAAAATAGACATGTATTAGTTTAATAGATGTAAAACCATGTATAGTTTAATAGACTCTTTAATAATAATATTTCATCCCAGTAGACGTTCTCAAATTGATAACATTCAGCAAAATCACTAATAAGTTCCCTTTGGCAAATGTAGGCCTTTGAGACAACAGCAGTCAAGGCTGAGTGAAGAAAGCAAAAGAAATATGTTTGCTATCTTCTCTGATACCAAAGGCATTACAAAGAAGAAAGCAGAAGTATGCATTCCACTAGGGATTGGTTCCATTCAAAACGGCCATTTGATATTAACACATTTCTACCGCATCAGGTTTAAAGCACACAAGGTGATGAAACATTGCTTGGGCTTTACTCTACCAGCCCAGCAGGAAAGTTTAAAACTTGGATCAACTCTGGAGGTATATGTACCTGCACAAAAAATATTACCAAGAGCAAAGACCTGAGTGATATACACTGGAGGAAGAGTAGTTTTCTCTGCTACCTTTGTTGAAGCATTGCCAGATAACAGTTTAGTGACAGAACTGACTGTGACTTCATTTTAGTTCTGCTTCAGTCCAGATTGTTAACACAAATTATTGTGTTTGAACTGGAGTTACCCAACTCTTACACTTCCTTCTTTGTTGATGGAGACAGTGACAATAAGGCCGAGGCAACACGAACTATGATCACTTACGGTACTCGTGCCAGCAAAATTAAAAAAAACATCCTGAAACTACTTCTGTGAAACATATTAGGATTTCTTAAATAAGAGATTCATAAAATTATATTTTAGTGAGAAGCATTTATGAAGATACTACAACTTGAATCTTCTTATTGTCCTAACTTAGCTACTGCTGTTTTATCATCTTACCACAATAACTGCAAACACATGATAAAAAAAATCTATGGAACTGGATTGTATCTCAGTTCTCCCTTTCTTCCAAGGGAGACAAAGGCACATTGCATTCTACTGTAGACCAAATGTAGAGCTCTGTGAAATGTTACTACCTTTGCAGTTACAGCTGGATCTATTAGGTCACTTCCTAACAGAGCTGGGGTTTGTTTCAAACTCCTAAGCACTAAGCCTTTAAGCACTCCAAAACATACGATCAAGACATGATGTGCATAACACATGGGCAAAACCAATTTAGCAACCACTGTAATAGCAATAAGCACTATTGTATTAAGTCTTTAAAAAAAAATTACTTCCATCTTCTGAATTATCTCTGAACTTGAAGTTTTCATATGAGCTTCAAATTGGTTGAATTCCCTTAAAAATGTCTGGTTTCGCAGAAGAGCCTTTTTTTGCCGTTCATCTATTTCTTTCAAGTATTTTTTCAGCTTCGTGTACTTTAGTTTCACCCTACAGGGGAAAAAATTTGTATTTAAAGAGCATAAAATTAAAACAAATGTATGTATATTGCAATCATTTTTTTTCAGACATATATATCCTAACCCTTATGTAGGATTCTCCCCCCCTCTCTCAACACACACACACTGAAAACGAGTAGACGCCTATCTCTCGCACAACTGCCAAAGGCTACATCATACAACTCACAGGACGTTACTGCCATACAGCTTAAGGTTTAAACATGATTTTTGGTGTTCAAAAGGATACTAACAAATTCCTGAAATCGTGTTTTTAAAATGAGTTGTGCTTTAGACATATATATTGCATTAATTCAAAATGAAAACTGTATTTAGGAAAAACAGTATTCTGTAAGACACACAAGCTGTGACACTAAAGCTATGATTTCACAGCTGCTTTAAGCCAACCTAAATCTGTGCTGCCACCAAAAGGGGCATCTCACTCAAAGCCTATCTTTCTTTTTTTATGCCAAAACTATCTGTTATGTGGCCACGTGGCAAGTCAGGCCAAGAGTGATCCAGCTGAAAGTACACCTAAACTAATTCTCACCCATGCAAAAAAATTGATTTGTTTCCAGCCAAATCAATTCTCTTATCTTGTTATGGGGCAGCCACACAAGTATTAGTGCCAACACAGGAAAGATGTGAACCAGTGGCACACAGGATCATCTCTTTTGTTCTCAATCTGTCTGCAGGTCAGCTTAAATCAGCTGCCAAATTGCAAACTAAATCCCTCAAGCTGCCAATTTTTTCAGAAAAATTCCAGCTCAAAACATGTTAGATTAAAATAGATCAAATAGAAAAAACAGTACGTGTGTACATTTACCCACCTGTTCAGACATTTTTTCCTTAAATATACGTGTTCATTTTCTAATATAACAGCCCTGATTAAGAAAAGGAGTTTCTAGGGGATTTGATCATCATAGGACCTAGCTCCTCAGTCTCTTGAAGTAAACAAGAGTCACTTCGATGAGCTTTACAAGCTACATTTGAGGAAAGGAACACTAAACAAGAATGTCTAAAATAGGCTAAAAATTCTCTTCTTCTCTAGAACCAAGATGCCTTTCCTGGTCTAAGAAACTTTCATCCATGTAGAAATTACAGTCCAGATCCTCCTCCTGAATACAGGCTTCTGCAACCATTGTTTCAAAAAAAAAAAAAAAACAAAAAAACAAAAAAACCCCCACACACTATGAAATGCTCACATTATTATCATTTTCTTTTAAAAACTACAGCTTTATGGTTCAGGTCTTCTACAGCCTGAAGAGCTCAGATCTACCACAGGATGTAGGAAAGTTAGAATGTTTTGATGCTAGCAGGCCTGCTGGAAAAACAGGTCTGGAATCTGCTCCCCTTCTTCCTTAACCATTTAGGGGCATAAATTTCCAAGTTCAAGTACAAAAAAGGAGGAAGAAAGGAGAAACTTTCTCGTGCTTGTCTCAAAGAAGGCAGCCATACTGAGTTACATTTAACGTGTAATTTGGGACACGTTAAATTGGCTGCAGTTTCAACTGGTTTGCTCTATCGCAATAAAGCTAACAGCAGCAGTGCTTATAACCTGGTGCATGTTATACACACAATAATATCCAGAGGACCCAAGAATGCAAACACAGGAATCTCTCTGAACAACCAGCTAAACTACAAAGCTGGGGTGGGAATCTTGATTTCAGTCCTCTATTTTAGGGTAGACTGTATTTGCACTTTACATTAAACAAATAATGCAGAAACAATCCAGGGAGCAGAACCAGAACCTAGAACATCCTCTAGGATTTTAAGACTTTTAAACTTCCTAAGACTCTAGGACTTCCTAGCACGAACTATTCTACAACAATTTTGTAAACGTTGCACAAAACTATGTGCAACACTATGCATACATAACTATATGTTACAAATAACATATTAGTCGTTACTAAGACAACATTTCAGTATTATTATCGAGTAAGGGAGTTAGATTACTACTGAAGTTACTTCACCAATAGCTTAGAGGCAAGAACCTCACACTATACTTTAGATGTGAATATAAAATTACTGTTACAAAAATTGTCAAGATACCATTCTAAAATCATCGCATGATACCTAAATCTTTGCAACTAAAATAAAATAATCCATATGAAGTTTAAGTAGTCTTACGCGTATGCATCAGATTTTCTGTAGTCAATCAGTTCTCTTTCTAATTCCAGCCTTTTGGTTTCACTGGAGAAAAACAAATAACACACAGTAAGATAAAATTATGGAATAATTTATTTCATCAAAGTGCAAGAAATGAAACATTTTACACAGCAAAAAAAAATCTTTTTAGAACACACAGCACATTTTTGCTACAAACTGGCACTCTTACAAACTGATCCATCAGCTGAGCTTATCAGAAAAACAGTTTCACAAAAAACCCTCTAGGTTTTTACATCTTCTTTTGTTCCTCATTGGAACAAGAGCTAGGTTATTCTAAATGAAGAGGAACAAAGGGAAAGATACATGAACATATATAAACCCACACAAAGACTCACCAGCATAGCCAAGAAGTCTGTATTTCTGCTCAACTTAAGTTCCCGTTTCAAGTCCCTTCTCCAGCAGCCCCAGGAAGTGCTCTAAACACCGAGACACTGGCAGTTTACGAGTTTCTTCCCCCCTGCCCCCAAGTCACAGACCAGACCACTTTCAATCCAGGAAATTTTTTTTTTTTTTTTTTTTACAAGTTATTCATGTCATAATTTGGAGTACATATCTCATTCTCATGCTTTAAACTTAAGTACACCTAGAGGTACGCTAGTGTTAGGTAGCCTTTAGTAAGTTCTGGCAGATACTTAGACAGCACCTGAATACAAAAGTTAAGTGTTCTTGAGGCTGAAGATAAAATAGTACAAAAACCATCAGATAAGGGCCACTCAACATTTGAGTACCATCATTACAGATACCTAAAATAGTTAACACAAAGCCTATGGTGTTTCGCAATGCAGCTCTGTCCAAGCAATGACTTGAAGGCAAGCAAGATATCGTCTTGTTTACTTGCAAACTTCTGGCAGAGTTTCTTAGTATGTATGGCAGAAGTTATGCTTGCTGCAGCAGAGGAATTTTTTTTGGCCACTCCATTATATGGACACTTCCTTTTTTAACTAAAAAATAAAGGTGTCTCAGCCTGCAACTTTTCTCTGTTCATGCAGTTTTGCAGCATGTTAAAATGAGGCAAATAGACAGTTATAAACTTTTAAGAGGCAAAGATAGTATAGTTAACTTTTTAAGGATCCAAATGGCTCATTTTCAAGCAACTCTGAATCTTCAGTCTATAGAGAAAGAGAACGTTAGTTTGGGATTTGAGGGCAGAATTAAATTCCCTGTTCAGCTACAAGCTCTCTCTAATCTCTGGCATTGATCTGTAGTGATATTTGATCCCTCACCTCCCATTTAAACCAGCAGGACTAAGATGCCTGAATACTTCTGATACCAGGCCTTAGTTCCTTTGTGCTTCAAGGATATGTAAGAACATAACGTAAGAACAACAGTACTACTGTCATCATACCCTGTTGAGATAAGTACCTACAGAACAATGGAACACTTGGACACAATGCAATTTTTCCATAACAGCAAGAAATGTTATTTTTATGGTCATTTTTCGACACCAAATATTAAATCCACTGTTGAACACTAAGCTGCATCTAACTTACTGGTCTAGAACACTGACAGAGGCCACTCAAAGCATGCTAGTATGCATTATATAAGACTTTGGCTGAAAAGACAAAAATTACTAACCAATTACAGCACTGAGTCCACTAACATAAGTGGACACAGCACAAAAACGCACACAGACATGCAAAGATAAAACAAACAACCGGTTTCCCAACCAGGTGAGTAGGAAGTTTTCTTCAGAACAACACACGGTAACTTTCTCAGAGAGGAAAAGAGGTAGTACGGACCCCAAAAAAAGCAACGAGGCCACATCACTATTTCACCACTTAACTCCTAAAGAAGCGCTATTCTCAAAAACTTTCTTAGCCAGCTGCTCTGCTGCTCTGCATGAATGAGAATAGACCTGTCCACGACTCTTCTAGAAACATACAACTGATACCAGCAAATATGTCTAAAAGTGATACTCCTATGTGATTTACATTTTCTATTCAGCACTTCTCAATATTCCTACATGTTTACTGCAAATCACCCTTAGCACGAAGCATCTGGCCTCACTGTTTGAAAAGCAAAGCTAATCGCAAAGCTAGTCACAGTGTTGAGTACAGCACTTAGCTACATAAATTATTGACTTTACCACCCACACCTCTCAAAAACATTGCTGTCCTCACCAGCAATCATTGAAGATTAAGTGCTGAGTAATCACAACATGATAAATTCTGTATAAAACATGGAAGGTAAACTCTCTGCCCCATTTAACTTATTAGACATCCAAAACCTTATTCTCCATAATTTTGCACAAAACAGATACTGCTGACCTGTGTATGGAGACCTATATATGCAATAATTTTTATATCTAGATTAGATAAAGTACAAGGAGTAAGAGATAAAATGTAAGAGATAGAACATAGTCAATAAAGTCTAGCATGTAATATGCTACATTTAAGATACAGTTATGTCTTGGCACAAGTCTTAAGGCACTCCATGTTTGTTTATCATAAGCTTAGTATCTGGTGGCTAATTCCTCAAGCATTTCAGAACGTACATATTTAAAGAAAAGATTTATGAGAACAAGTGCAAAAGAAAAATTCACAAGAGCTCTCTTCTTGTTCCCCAAGAGTCAGCTGAGGGACATAACCAAGCAGCAGCTTCCTCCATCACATTCGAGCTCTTGCATAGATAGCTTCTGTAGTAGTGTCTCATTGTTTGCTCAGGCAAAATTGAGAGCTGAAAGCAGGACTGCAATCAGGAATGAAACAGCTGTCGGGTACTTCACGTCTTAAAACAGGCAACGTGGAATTAGATCAACGTAGAATTTCTAAAGTGGGACTTGCAAAAACCGAAATGCTCCAGTG